GGGAGGAGGTAGGTGGGCGAGGGGGTAAAGGGCCGTGCGGTCCCAGGGCGGTTGGCTGGCTGGCTCAGGCACTGGCAGCAGGGTGTGCTTACCTCCTGCCTGGCGGCGCCTGCAGCAGCTCCAGTGGCCTTGGCTCCCCTGGCAAGTGGCAAGCGCAGCCCCGGTGCGGGCTCCCCTCTTCATGCGCCCGCTCTGCCGGTGCCTTTCCCTGCCGGCCATGGGTTGTTGGAGAGGGTCCGGGCAGGCGGGAAGGATGTGGAGGGACATGGAGGGGAGCCTTGGGGATCGGCGCTGGCTTTTGGCGGGGGGGGGGAGCCGAAGTTCGGCGCCCCATTCAGGGCCTGCCGCCCCATCCAGGGCTTCCTGCTCTAGGCGAGTGCCTAGTTGGCCTAGCGGGAGAGCCAGCCCTGCCCAAGGCCCTGATCCAGAGATAGTCACTCACTGCAATATGGGATATACTTGTCTATCACACTTTTTTTCCACCCTTTTATTGACAAAGCTTAGAGCAGAGCAGAGCCGTTTAAAAACCAATTCCTGGTTGGTTTCCAGCGGTTGACATAAATTGGTTGCGATTCCATGGCCCTTACATACATATTGGCTTCCCATTAATGCAGATTACAGAGCTTCAGTCGCATAGCTTTGCACCTCAGAATGTTCTGTAGACTCATGTTTCTTTATCACATTTGTGTCACACTTCAACTCCATAGGCTGTAAGCTGGTAAACATGGTGCCATCTCTTTCTATCCCCACAAAAAGTTGGTGAACTAGAACATGAATGAGTGAATGGATCACAGTCTTACAGTGGGCTTCATGATAAGCATTGCAAAGAAAAATGTAAAAATGTAATATGGATCACAAATCAGAACAATAATGTATGTAGCATTTTCTTGAGGCTTGTAACTTGTAAAATGTTTAGAAAGATGTTGGAGACACTAAGGAGAAAATAACATTTGGTACACAAGTAGTAGATATAAAATACAAGTACTCTACAATGCATACCTAAGGTGCATTTCTTCAGGTAATTGAAATGAATCTCAGGCTGGGTTGTTGGATATTTAGCAGCTGTTCCTCTTTGATTATTAATTTCAGCAGGGTTACACAGGCTTACTTGGGAATGATCAGAGCTCCTTAATTTTTTTAAAGGAAATTCATTTTTAATGTCACCTGGACAACACTGCATGGAACTGGAGAAAGAACCTTAATGTAAACATTTTTTTCTATGTCAGACATTACAGACCTAGTGGTTACGGTGATATGTGAAGCCACTAGATTGAAATGCAGAGATGAAATTCCTGATAGACTGAACAAGCAAGCTGTAAAACTCAAATGTCTTATTTTATAGCAACAAATCTGCAGCCAATATAAATAGCAATGAAAGATACTTTCTTAAGGCCAGTTTAGAAAATAAACATTTCCCCAAGCAATAAACAACTATACAAACAACTGTTAACCACTTTTGAAACACACACACTAAATATGAAAAATACTACACAGAAGCAAAGAAACAAAAAGGAAACTTTCAAGAAAGGTGTTTAGATTCAACCTCAAGCTCCACTTTCCAGATTAGCCACAAACTGATCAAGATCAATCTCCTAATGCTCGTTTCTGAATAATAAAACAGAGAAGTATGAGAATTAACAATTTATAAGCACTTTACTGGAGCAAATTGTTCTTGTTTCAGAGATTTCATTCAGATTGGCTTCATTTTATTATTACACGTGTTCATTCTTGTGATCTTAGTTCCCAGGGGTTTCAGTGGGAAAAACAACGGCTACGCCTTCATCATCTACCTCCTCCTCCTTCAGCCATGTTTACAGTGCTGTGGGTTTCTATGCGTGTGGCAGGAATCTATCTTCCCCCCCATGCCCTGCTTAGGGTTGCCAGGTCCCCTTGAGATGCCAGTGGGGGGATGGGGGGGATTCTCCAGGAGCCGGAAGTGTCATCCCCAACATGCCGATGTCACCTGAAGTGATGTTGTGCGCTGTGCCTACATCACCCGGAAGTGACATAGGCACATCAGCATGAGTAAAAACCAGCAGGGCTATTTTTGGGCAGGAACGCACAGGAACGGAGTTCCGGCTGGCTCCTGAGTTGGCCTGAGTTGGCAGGAACTCATTAGCATAATAGGGCACACCCAACAGCAAACACTCATTAGGATTGGCTACATTAGGGGTGTGTGGCCTAACACGCAAAGGAGTTCCTGCTACAAAAAAAAGCCCTGGGTTTTGACAACAAACAAAGTAAACAGAATAATAAGCAAAAGGTGGGTGTGGCTGGATAACCACACTTCTGGTAACATGGGGGTGCGGCCTATTGTGGTAATGAGCTGTGCTGTCAGGGGTGTGGACTAATATGCTAATGAGTTCCTGCTGTTGAGTGTGGCCTATTATGCTAATGAGTTCCTGCTGGGCTTTTTCTACAAAAAGAGCCCTGCAAACCAGTATAAGTCAGAGAGCAGGATTTAGAACGGAAGAAATGTGGATGAGTGTGCAGAGACAGCAAAGCACAACCCAACCTCAACAGCATTGTGGAGGAAGTGTGTGTGCCCTTTGAGAGTTCTGAGGAACCACTTTAGTAAGACTTCCTGAAAACTTTAACTTTTCCTTGAAAACTTTCTGGGAGACTTAAGTAATCGAAGCATGGTTATCAAGCTGTATATAGTCTGAGATGTTTGCAGGAGGGAATGGATATTGCTTCCTTTTAGAACAGTGGCTTTTACCCAAAACTTGATGTGGCTCTCTGTCCTGAGCTGACCTGCAACACCAACAGGCTCCTTGTGATTGATGCGATTATTTTCATTGGTTTGCCACTAACGAAAGCAATATTTCCTTGCAAGTGTATACCTCCTGGCTATAATAATGATAGATCCCTCTGAGCTAACTGCTTTCACTTCACATACTTTGGGGGGGGGGGCTGTTATTAATTATTTGCATAGCAATTGCACTAGCCTTTCTCAAAGTCTTAAACTGTTAGGAGACAGAATTAGCATTTTTATGTTGTTTGTTGTATTATGCTAATGAAAATATATACTGACATTTCATTGCCTTTGTAATTGGCTTCTGCTAAATGGCAGTGCTGAGGTAGAGCTGATAAGGGGAGA